GTGGAACTCTCCCAGGCCGGGACAACAAGGCGTGCTGCAACCGGTTCATCCTTCTCAGGAGGTATGCAGCTACTACACACTCCACTCTGACCAGCTGGAATGATAATCGGATGGTTTTCCGCCGAAAATTGCTTCCAGCAATTCCCTTTCATGTTACCTGATGATGCACGTTTGCTGCTGATGCTGTGCAGAAAATTTATGCGACAGAAGAGATCCCGTGGCTCTGCAATGATGCCACCTGCTGCAACGACTGCTGCAAATGGGATTCCGGATTCAACAGACAGCCATGGGTCAGCTGGCAGTGGCGTCAGCGGCAACTCGGGCTCATCTGCTGGCCCACTTGTCCCTAAAGAGTCCTCCTCGCCCCTACGCCCCTCTCTTCAAAAGCACATCCCTTGGTCTGTCTCCTTTCCGGATGTACAATTCGCATTGCAGCAACCCTCTCCGGGAAGTGACGGTGGTATGAGTTCCATGTCAGCTGGTATTCCCTCGCCGCAGCCAGGCACGCTGCAGTGGAGCCCGCTGTCAACGACTCCTTTTGCTGCCAACATGACGGAAAATTCGCTGCGTGCGTACCTGGCCAGCCCCCTGCCTCACGCCCATCTCGTGCCATCTGCTGCGCTGGTAATGTCAACCCAGCAGCAGAACACTTCGAATCCAGTGGATCGTTCTGCAGGTGGACCTACCCAGTATTTGCAGCATCAACAGTGCGAGTCTAACAAGGGTGGTCCAGCAACAATGGGTGGGATCGGCGGCGGTATTTATGGCAGTGGCGGCAGCATCAGCATCAAGAAAGAAGGGCTTCTTTTCCATGAGAACGTCAGGAAGAATGAGCCGGCCCAACCAGTGCCCGCCATTCACAAGCTGACAAATCCATCCGCCCTTTCGGCTCTTCCGGACTTGGAAGTGCTGCTTGCACACCTGTCTGCTGCACGCATGCCCACTGCTCCTAACAGGCCAACCTTTCCAACCTCACTGCTCTTACCCTCCATAGATCCGCCACAACACCACCTCCTTCAGACTGGATTGCATGCCAATCCGGTGGGGACCGCGGCGGCGGTTGGGACTGCAGTTCTTTTCCCTGCAGGACCCAGTTCGTTTCAGGACAATCAGGGGCTCAGTTGTGAACCATTTAAGCCTTTGACGTTTTATGGGGAACGAAACAGGAGTTATGGGAGTTCAAACGCGAGCGCTACCGGGAGAATACAGCAAGAAGTCCAGCCGGACCAATTGTTGGAAAGTATGACTAGAGGAAATTCGACTGTGCATGTATTAGATTCTAGATTTTGACTGAACTGATTTTGACTTGATAGTTCTAATGTATTTTTGTGTATCTGTTAGACTGATTTCAATCGAGAAAATGATGATTTTATATACGTCATTTGACAGGCTTGAAGCAAATTCGTAATATGTGCAATGGAAGGGCTATCGTCTGAACAATGTACTGTATGAGAGAAGGCCTGTGCTAAGGCCGCGTTGCACTTCTATATATTAATTCGAAAATTCTTTGGAGCGGGTTTTGGGCGAACTTGCACGCGTTTCAGTGTTTTCGAACTTGAACATGCAAAAACACAGAATATCGCATCCTTAGTCAGGTGCACCAAGACTGGTTTTTTGGGGAACCCGAACTCCCACCACCCGTGCGACCGAGATGAAGTCGCACGTACAATGTAAACGTCGTCTAACCAATCATATCATTATATTTAGGCATCGTAACTATTCTGTTACCATCGCTACCAATTCGTTGAATTCGCAACTAGAGTCCACCTTTTGGGGTGGTGCACTTCTGTGTCAAGTTCGAGCATTTGACGGGGAATTCTGCAGTATCGTTTGCCCGCGTTTGGGGCGCTATGGCGTTCAAGTTCGCATGCAAAACACGAGCGTGGTGCACTTCTCGAACAGTAACACTGTTTAGTCAAGACAAAATTCAGTTGAGTAAACGCCAAACGCACAGTAACCCGAACTTCACCAAAATTTCGGATTTGGATCGATCTTCTTCAGCATTTTCGAATTAAAAAATAGAAGTGCAGCGCGCCCTAACCCATAAACGCTAGCGGGAAACGCGCGGAAACGAGTGATGAAAACCGTTAGTAGGTTCAAACTGACCGTCGACACCCCTCTACAAAACGTCGAGTTATGACAACCGTTAGGTTTTGGTAACCTGGAAAATTGAGGGCTGAAGTGTGTCCAAATCCCTCGATGTATGCGAATGTTTGTCGGCGAGAATGTTGAATCATGTTGACGAGGCTCGCCCAGCACCTTCAGAGCTTGAAGTTCGAAGTTTCAGTGCACCGAAATCGTTACCATAAAGAGCGGGAGAACGAAAATAATATGCAGATTCCCACATAATGGGAATCCTTAGTGGGCAAGATGTTATTTGAGACCGGAATATGGAACGCTAGTAAACTCTGTTGGGAATGTATTCAGGGGTATGAAGCCTCGAAAATTCTGTTGGTTTCAGAGCGAAACCGTCTTTGCCTGTGGCTCCATCCACGTCAGGAATAGTGCCAGTACGTCGCCCAAAAGGCCTCGATTTGGGAGGCTAGCTAAGTGTGCGAGGTCGATTTTTCCGTACAGGTACGACATACGTCCAAATTATACAACTGTTCTTGATTAGAGTTCTCAACAAAAACATGCGCGCTACGGACTTTTGCTGAAAACTCACAAACCCCGGGCAAAAGGGAACTTTTAGTCCCGTATAAGGAAAGCTGCATGAAGAGCAATTTTTCTTCGCTACTAGTCGTGTTTTCCTGTCACATACGTGCATTCGGACTACGCTGTATTCAATTTCTCGTCGCACGGTGCGCCGCGTCGACCAGAGTCGCAGAACAAACGGGCAGAAAAATACAAATTCAATTATGTTTAAGGCCGAAATGAAACGCGACATTTTCCGTTATACACTGTAAGTGAGATTAATGAGATGGCATCGTCGGAGCTCACGGGGAACCGCGCGACAAGACTTAGACAAAAGCGCGGTCTAGATGAACAGATAACCACAACTGCAAAAGTAAATAGAAAATCAAAACGTTTTTTTTATTTGCCGTGAATGTTCTGACTGGTTCGATTTGCGTCCTCTGATTGGCTGCGTTGATTCAGTCAAGATGCACGATTTCCCGCCAAATAGGGGACTGTAGATGAGGGGATACACCTGGGACTTATGTAAAAAGTATACTCGTTGAGGAAATGAAACTCTCTTAGGAAGAACTCTAAGCCAGAACATCTGTACTGTTGTTGTGCGGTGCTTTTGTTCTTTTGCGCAATGAACATCCAGGCAGGCGTGCCTTCCCCACTCTGCCCATCCCCGTTGGACAAACACATAGAAAAGCGGCGCGAGTGTTCTTTACCGCCTCTTGATTGGTCAGGCCGTGTTTACCTTCCATCCCTTCCCAGTCCCATCCCATCTCAACGAGAGAATCGCTTCAGAACCCTGTTTGGTGATTCGTTTCTGCCCACGTGACTTCGAATTGCTCGAATGTCCATCAAATTCATTGATAATTGCTCGAGGGGCCACGCCAGGGGATTCCTGCTGGCTTTTTTTTACCCGGAACATGACCCTACAAGGGTTTGTATCCCCGAAACTTCTTTACTGATTATTGCGCGATCTTCATTATCCGAAATTTCTGTTCGTGACATAATATGACAGCGCCTGAGTGGACGCGCATTGCCAAAAAGGCCCCCGCGCATATAATCGACCAATCATGCGCGGTAATTAAATCCCGCGCATAGACGCCCGGGCATTGCAGTTTATGATCGCGGAAATATATGATGCGCGCTACCATTAAAGCTCGCGGCTCAAATTGTACAACTTTACTAAAGTTGCATGTTGGGAGATGAGGGAGCAGGGTTGGCTAGTCGAGGTGTTGAGCGGGTTGAGGGCTTTGGTTTCGCCCAACTTCTCGCCAATCTCAAACACATTTCGCTGACTCTGTAGACCCAAGGGGCCACTTCGCGTTTGGTTGCATGAGTCCCATATTGCACAAATACTATCCTTGCCAGTTTCCCACCCAACTCCCTCCGAAAATAGTGTTTCAATTTCGCTAGCTAATCAGCTCAGTGTTTCAGATTGACTAGCCAATCAACTTCCTTCGTACAACCCGTAACCTCAATTCGCAAAACCAGCACCTGCAAAATAACTATCAATCAACCTTACTAAGGTTGCCCAGCGCGGCCCGCAATTTGGGCCGCGAGCTCTAATGGCCGCGCAAGATTGGTAGACTATATGCGCGTGCAGTCAGGCGCGGTCATTAGGGTCACGAACATAAAATTCGGATATAACTGATCGCGTAATAACCAAGGCAAATGTTTTCGAGAATAAATACCCCTGAAGGGTAATGTGCTTTCTAAAAAAAGCCAGCGGGAATCCCCTGGCGTGGTCACTCGAGCAATTATCAATGAATTTTATGGCCACTCTAGCAATTCGAGGCCACGTGGGCAAGAAAGAATCACTAAACAGGGTTCTGGAGTAGTTCTCTCCATCCCACCCCTCATCCCCTTCCTCACCACAGCCCGCGTGTGGCTCCTCGTTCTCCCATCACACCTGCTGTCTGTCCTCCCTCCTACTGTAAATGGTATGTTTGAATGAATATGCTCGGCGGCTTGCTGCCCAATGTCGGTGACATCGCAGTTTCACGCGACGTCCGCAGAACGCAGAATCTGTGCGCTCACTGTGCTGCACACACCCCCACGCAGTTTTGCATAGCACGTCAGATGTGATACATTCAGTGCGGTTCATTACGGCGCGTGGAGTTGAGAGCCCGTTTTTGTGCGCACCGAATATCATAAGCACCAGGCAAGAACAAAGAATTGGTAGACGAACTATTGGGACACGCCTTTATTCGCGCCACGGCTTCAGTTGCTGACAGGTGGTGCTAACCCTAGCCGACAGACACAGCACCCTCCGCACCAACCCGCCATTCCCAGTTTCAAGATAGCCGCAGCAATAGCAGTATCACCGTCGCAGCCACCGCAGCGTTTGCACCACGCATACCCTCATAACTACCATGGCCTCCGTCGCTCGCCCGCCGACCTCTCGCACCAGCCACCGCCGTTCCGCCTCGTCCCGCCGCTTCCGCGCATTGTCTCCGCTCTCCGCGCTGCTCCTCGCCGCCTGCTGCCACCTCGCGCTCTCCCCGGTCCGCGGTGTCCTGCCCGTGGCGCGTGCGACGCCGCAAGTCCCGTGGGACAACTTCTCCTCGCCATGCACGCCGATCCCGGACCCTCCCCCCTCCGGTGCGTTTTGAGTCGATTCAAAACACTCCGCTCCCAATCCCCCTTGCTCCTTCTAGAGGAGCCTATTAACACGCTTCCAGGCTTTCCGCCGGCCGGTGCGGCACTGCCGGCGGTGACGGTCGTCCAGCGGGACGGCCGCCGCGAAATCCGCAGCCCCCAAAGAAACGGCACCTAGCCGCCGCTCTCCCGCCGGCAGTAGTAGTAGTACAAGTTCGTACCATGGCTCACAAGTCCTGTGTTGTGTCGGGCTTCACAACGCACCCTTGGTTAGAGGACACGAGGCGCTCCTGTCCGTCTGAATCTAGCCGAATTAGATGAGCCTCGTTGGTTAGAAGAGACGAGCCGCTCCTTCGTCGTGGGCTTTCACGTCCTTATTCTAGTGTACCTAGTAGTGTCCTAGTATTCAAGAAACGGGCCTGCCAAAGACGTGCGGTACGGCTTTCGGTGGCTTGTACGCACAGGTTAAGTTATCCGTGTTGTACTCCTAATATACCTCCCGTATTAGACCTGCATGCACCCTCCCGCATCTTTCTTTGTCCTGAATCAGGGTCAGTTCAAGCCGTCTTTCAGGCTTAGAGACAAATGCGGAGTGCTGATGCTATCACAATAACAGCTACCACTGCTGCTGCTACTGCTACTGCAGCTACATCTGCTGCTGCTGTTTCCGCTTCTAGTACTGGTACCGATAAATTGCTGTTAGAGCTCTTATCTCCGCCTTCTCACCTCCCCCCCTTTGCCCCGTGCTCCTTCCCGTTACCTCCTCGCTTTCCCTCTTTCCCTCACCTTTCCCTTGTCTTTCCCTCCCCCGCTTCTTCCCTCCTCTTCCCCACTCATCCCCCTTATACCTCCCCCCTTTCTCCCCTTCTTCCCTCCAGGCTTCAAGCCATGGGGCGATTCGACGATGTTTGAGTCGACTCAAAAGTCATCCCTGTCTTTCCCTTCCACGCTTCTTCCCTCCTCTTCCCCACCTCATCCTCCTTTCTCCCCTTCCTCCTTCCAGGTTTCAAGCTGTGGGGCGATCCGACGATTTGGCCGGGAGGTGTGGTGCCGGGCGTGGGGGCGGGCAAGGGCGGCAACGCCACCATCCCGTGCGGAGTGGCCGTGCTGCTCAACGTGCCGTCTGTCGTCCTCTCCACCCTCACCATCCGCGGCATGCTCAAGTGAGCGCAGGAGTGGGGAGGGGCGCGGAGGAGTGAGGAGGAGCTAGAAGGACTATGGTCGAGCGGGGAGACTGGCAGGAAGGGAGGAGAGGAGGAAATGGAAGGGGAAAGAGTTTTCAAGAGAGTGGAGCAAGTGCGAGAATGGGGGTTTTCTGAATGGATGGCACACACTAGACTCTCCAGCATGTTTGTCCGTTCACCTACTACATGCGTCTATTATGTGCCGTATCCTTCTGCATTCTCCGTTCCTATCTCCCCTGTCCTCGCCCGCCTTTTCCGCACCAATTCCCTCCTACACCGTCCCGAATCCCCCTTGAATTCCTCCTGCTTCTATCTTGAATTCCCCCTTTGATTCCGCTCTGCGTGTGTGTCTGGCTGTTGCAGAATCGAGGACACGCCATCACGGCCGCTGGTGCAGGTGAACGCGTCGTTTGTGATCATGGAGGGGCAGCTGATCGCAGGCAACAGCACCAATCACTTCTCTCAGAAGGTCGTCTTCACGCTCACGCGCAACCCCAAGGGGCGCGCGCCCTACCAGTACACCGCCAACGCACCCGCTGACCCCGCCAACCCCCGCAACTTCGGCCACAAGGCCTTCGTCGTGGTGGGAGGGCAGGTGCGCATGCACGGCATGCCGGGGGGCTCCTCCACGCCCTCGTGGTGCCGCCTGGCAGCGACAGCACAGGCGGGCGATACAGCCATCATCGTGGACCGGGACGTCTCCGCATGGCCCGTGGGCTTCCATGTCGGCCTCGCCTCCACCGACTTCTATCCCGACCAGATCGACGTCGCCAAAATCGTTGCTGGTGAGTGAGTGGGCCTGTGTTGGGACCTCTCAAGAGTGCCTTTCACTGCCTGTCCCTCTCCCCTCTCTCAGCCAGTTTCCCTTTTGCCGTTCACTCTAGTCTCTGGTGGGCTACCGAGCTGGTAGTGCAGCAGCCCATCTCTCTCGCGCCGTCTCTCCTCACACACTCCCTCCCTCTCTCCTGCTTCCTCTCATTCGCCCCATCTGCTTCACCCTCCTCGTCGCAACTTCCCCCCATGCCAGCTGCTCATGTATATGCGAAATTTTACCAGATTCTGCATCATCACCATCACCCTGCTCCCCCTTGCTGCAGTGACGGCGGTGGGCGGCAGCAAGTGGAAAGTGGCGCTGAGCGCGCCGCTCTCCTACAGCCACTTCGGAGAGGTGGTGCCCGACGGGTTCGGCGGCACAATCGACGAGCGCGGGGAGGTGGTGCTGCTGAACCGCACAGTGACCATTCGAGGGGAGGACGAGGCGGCACCTTACAACTGGGAGGGCGGGCACTTCATGGTGTTTTTCACTCAGACCGCGCAGATGATAGAGGGCGTGGAGTTTGCCCAGATGGGGCAGCAGGGGCAGCTGGGGCGCTACAACATCCACTTCCACCTCTGTGGGAATCAGGCGGGGAGGAGCGTGGTGCGCAAGAACGTCATGCATGACAGCAAGCAGGTGGGTGCTGTTTGCTGGCTGCTGTGTGCTGTGTGCTGGATTGATTGATTCCACTCTGAGCGTGCCTTGCCTGTACACAGACTTTCTTTCTGCGAATCTTTCCATGTCCTCAAGGTGACTTTTGAGTCGACTCAAAAAGTACACGTCCACTGATTGTCCATCCCTCCATCCTCGTCCCCTCTCCTTCTCTCCTCGTTCCTTTCCCCCCGCTCTCTGCCTCCCCACTGCCCCCTTCTGCTCCCGCCCCCCACCTTCCACCATGCAGCGCTGTGTGGTGGTGCACGCCACCTTCAATCCTCATTGCGTCCCCTTCTCACCCCCCTCCCCCATGCAGCGCTGTGTGGTGGTGCACGCCACCTTCAATCGTCATCGCGTCCCCTTCTCACCCCCCTCCCCCATGCAGCGCTGTGTGGTGGTGCACGCCACCTTCAATCCTCATCGCGTCCCCTTCTCACCCCCCTCCCCCATGCAGCGCTGTGTGGTGGTGCACGCCACCTTCAATCTGACGGTGGAGGAGAACGTGGCGTTCAACACGAGAGGGCATTGCTTCATGGTGGAGGAGGGCGGCGAGCAAGGCAACTCCTTCATCCGCAACCTTGGCATCTGGACGCGCCCAGGTGCGCATGCCTGATTCCACATTGTGTTGTCGCATGCTATCGCTGCCATTGCCGCTGTTTTTTTGTTTTTTTTTTTCTTCTTCTTCTTCTTTTTTCTTCTTTTTTTTTTTTCTTTTTTTTTTTTTTCTTTGCGGTGAATGCGTTTTACCATTTGCTGTGGCCTGTGGGTGCTGCGACGCACATGCGTGCATGACCCTGGCTGTATGCATCTATAACCTGCTGTGGGTGTTGCGACAAGCACGCGTGCATGATTCTATCTCTGCATATGTGCGCTTATGGATGTTGATGAGAAAAGGCCCCGTCCTCGCTTGGGCGAAGTCGACCTCGCTGCCCAGTACACAAATGTGTGCAGCCAGCATTTCGCGGTCGTTGACCGACTTTGGGACTTTTTTTGAAGTGCGACGAAGCGCTTTGTCGACGTCGGCAGACTTTCGAAGTGATGACGGCGAAAGCGGCGGTGAAGCATATGAGGCGATGGTCGACGAAATGAAGTTGGCGGGCGGAGCCGGCCTTGCTGGTTGATGAAAGTATCCGTCGACAAGGCACTGGCCGACGGAATTAACGCGCAGGCAGCGCCGATTTAACGACGCATTTCTGGTCGACCAAAGTAACTGGTCGACTAAATATAGCATGTGCGCGAATTTCACCACAAGCGGCTGTGACAACAGTTGACCTGCGGAAAAGGCATCACGTGCTCTACAACCTGGCACCTGCACAATGTGCATCATGTGCACGAAGTGCATGCAATTGCTGTTGAGCAGACCTGCACCTACTTTGTAGGTGACGCACATGTGCGAACTTCACTTGCGGTTGCCACACTGGCAAGCTGCCTTGTTGCAAGGTTTGCAAGTCGCCTTGGTGTAATGTTGGCAAGCCGCTTTGGTGCAATGCTGACAGCCGCCTTGGTGCAATGTTGGCAAGTCACCTTCTGGCAAGCCGCCTTCGTGCTGCGCTGGTAAGTTGCCTTGTTAGGTGTGCTACGTGTGTTGCAATGCCTTACTAGTTGCATCGAGTTTGTCATGATTGTATGCTTGTTGATTCTCTTTTCTAAGTGAAACTCTTGCCAGTTTTGCGTACGCGCTTGCACAAGCATTACGAAATACTAAGATCAACCCCATACAATCTATAACCTCACACGTAGTCTACCCGTTGTGGAGTGACTCCCCGCACGTGTGCATGCCTTATTCTCTCTTTGCATATGTGCGTGTTTGCATGCAGTGGAGGTGAAGATATCGGATGAGGAGACGGATGACATGCCATCCACATTCTGGATCACCAATGCAAACAACAACTACCTCGGAAATGTGGTTGCAGGCTCAGAAGACACCGGGTGTGTGAAAGCGTGGTTGGGTGGGTGGGTGGGCTTGACTTGTAGCAGGACGGATAGGTAGGCGTTCAACACGCATACATGCTAATGGCCACTAATCAGCACGCTCATCCCCATCGACACGTCTCTCAGCCTTCCTCCATCCGCTTCCGAATTAAACCGAGGCTGTCGGTGAAACCTCCACAAATCAACACGCTCAATCCTATCACCATCTCCCCTCCCTCCTCCCCTACCCCCACACCTCTCCCCTCCCCACCCTCTCCCTATATGCATACAACCAGCTTCTGGATCGAGCTACGGGACCGAGTGAGGGGACTGTCATTGCAATGGCCGCTCATCAACACGCTCATTCCCATCAACTACCACCGTGTTGGCACGTTCGCGGGCAACGTTGCTCACTCCTGTGCCACGGGCTTCCGTGACTACCCTCGCGGCTTCAACCCCCGATTCAACGCCTCCACCCTCTCCGATGGCAGCTATGTGCGTCACCACCACCCATGCCTTTGCTATCTGTTATTTTGAGATGACTCAGGACCAGCATCGATTCTTGCATGCCCGCTGATGGCACATGTGTTCACTGCCACCTGCTGCCACCTGCCGCTTCTTGCGTTTCCATTGTCTCTCCCGCACACTCCTCAAAAGCGCGTCGCACTCCTGTGCCCGTAACTGTGTCTTTTGGTGCATGATCCTCTGTTCATTTTTGGAGGCCACCAGGAAAAAAAAAAAAAGGATAAACATGAGCTCGTTAAAAACACCAAGAGCATATTGAAAGGTGTGCGTGTGCCGCCCCTCCCATGTTTCTTTCAACTATGCAGTGGGATCAACCTGTGTGGGTGACTATTGCGGGCTTCCTTCTTTACAAGAATCTCTACGTGGGGTAAGTTCACCCATATGCTCACTTTCTTTGTCTTCCTCGCCCCTCTTTCCCTTCATTTCCGCCTACTCCAGCATCACCCACCTACGTCTGTTTTTTGAGAATTCTCAAAGAACATGCACGGGCGGGGCAACACGTGCCGTTGACCAGGCATGCTGCCCCTCCCCCAGGCATGCTGCCCCTCCCCCAGGCATGCTCCCCCAGGCATGCTGCCCCTCCCCCAGGCTCACATCTCTTGTTGTTTCTCTGTCCTAAACAACAAGAGATTGATGGAAATAAGGCCTCCGCAGCCCACCTGTTTGACTTCGACAGCTCCTGTACCCTTTGTCCCGTAACCAATCCCACACCAGATAGTGTTTCACGCCGCAACACACAACTCGGACCGCACGGTCTTCTCGACGCATTCACTGCCGCTCCAGCGCATTTCTTCCTGCACAGCATGGATGGACCATGTGGGGATTCATCAACACTGGTTCACTTTTCATCACCACCATACATACATGCATCTTGCACATTGGTCCTCATTCTCTCCCCCCTCTTCCTCCCTCCTCCCCTCTCCCCACTCCACCCCAGCGCGTTTTGCGCACAACACGGTCTACGTGGTGCTTCACACCGGTTCACTTCACTCTCCATAGCAGCACCATGCATGCAGCTTGCTCCTCACCCCCCTCTCCCCTTCTGTCCCTCCCTCCCCAATCCCCCACTCCCCAACCACCCCACCCCTGCAGCGCGTTTGTGCACAACACGGACTACGTGGTGTTTGACGGCTTCACAGCAGCGGACAACGTGTGGGGGGTGAACCTGCATCAGGTGGAGGGTGCTGTTGTGCGCAACCTCAGGGTGGTGGGGCAGACCGCCAACTACGGCAACCCCTGGGACTGCACCGAGGAGTGGGGCTCTGGGGGTTGCGCTCCGGTCTCAGGCTGCAAGTGAGTGCTGGAGGAAGTGGGGGAGGGAGGGAGTGAGGGATTGAGGAAGGGAGTGAGGGAGCGAGGAGTGAGTGAGTGGCTGGATTGACTCCATGTTTGTGTGTGTGTGTTTTTTTTGTCTTTTCCAGTGGCCAGTAGTCCATCTTTGAGGGCTCCATCCATCCTTGTCGTTTCTTTATCTCCTTCTCTGCCACCGCGTCTTTATACCTTGCCTTTGCTCCCGTTTCTCCTCCACGTGGCAGCTTCCCACTGGCGGAGGGGCAGCAGGGGCGCAGTGTGGGGTGGGGGGGCAGGGAAGAGCCGGTATACGGGCTGGTGTGGACGCAGAGCCCATGGTTCACCGACGGGCTATTTGACAACGTTGTTGACGGCGCTAAGTGCGTGCATGCATGCACCCATGCTTCCATGCACCCGTGCATCTGAGCATCCATGCACCCATGCACGCATGCATCCATGCATCCATGCATCCCTTCACCCATGCACCCATGCACTGGCCTGGGCTGGCTGACACACCACCACTAGCATGCCACAGCATCTTCATGCACTCGCATCTCCTCCTGCCCTCCTCCAAGGCCGCATCCTGTCTATTTCTCTCGCACACCCACCGTGCAGGTTCGCTGGGTTTGACAGCACGTGCAAGCCGTCTGCTGCGGTGGCGGTGGGCGGGGACAGGGGGGTGTATTGGAACGCAGGCAACAGCCTCAAGGTGCCTTGTACTGCCTCATCACCGCTTGTTACTAACGGTCTTTCACTGTTGCTCTCTGCTCTCTGCTCTCTGCTCACACTCGCACCCTCATCATCATGCATCGTTCCAAAGAGTCAAGTGCAGCTATGCACATGGACCGATGCTGCTTGCACGTGCTCAACAAATCTAAGTAATCGCTGAAGAAAGTAGTCCCTTTCCTGCTGCACTAACTAATGGTGCGTCTTCCTCCTCCTCCTCCTCCTCCTCCTCCTCCTCCTCCTCCTCCTCCTCCTCCTCCTCCTCCTCCTCCTCCTCCTCCTCCTCCTCCTCCTCCTCCTCCTCCTCCTCCTCCTCCTCCTCCCCTCCTCCTCCTCCTCCTCCTCCTCCTCCTCCTCCTCCTCCTCCTCCTCCTCCTCCTCCTCCTCCTCCTCCTCCTCCTCCTCCTCCTCCTCCTCCTCCTCCTCCTGCTGCTGCTGCTCCCCCCATCACCAGAACCTCAAGTTCAGCACTGTAACGCGGACCAACCCAGTCATCGTCGTGCCTCAGATGTACCCATCCAGAGTGAGTCGCCACGCGCCAACCCAACTAAGCACCATTCCTTATGTGCACGACACACTGCCCCTCTACCACTGCCCCTCTACCACTGCCCCTCTACCACTGCCCCTCCCCCGCTGCCCCTCTCCTGCTGCCCCCCTCCCGATGGGGAGGCAGCGGCACAGATGGCATTGTGATTTCGAGTTGACTCAAAATCTCCCTCTCTCTCATCCTCCTCTCCTCCCCTCTCTCTCTCCCGGGGCCCTCGCCTGCCCCTGGGCAGTACAACCAGTCGGAGACGGAGGACCATGGGGAGGCAGCGACACAGGCGGCGTTGTGGGACATGGACGGCAGTCTAGTGGGGTCGGTGCTGGGGAAAACATCCATCGGCAAGAAGAACAGACTCCCTTCTGCTGCCACTACTGCTGGTTCCCGCACTGCTCTTGCTGCTGCTGCGGTTGCTGCTGCTAATGATGCTGTTGCTGCTGATGATTCCGCAAGGCCCAGTGCTGCTATCCCTGCATCTCTTGGCAGGCTTGTCCTGCCACGGAAAGCTTCCCCTCTGCACCACCATCGCCTGCTAGTCACGGCTTCTGCTGCTACTGCTGATGCTGATGCTTCTCCTGCTGCTGCTTCTGCTGCCTCTGCTGCAAATTCTCCTCCCCGCATGCATCGCACTGCAGCTTCTGCTGCGGCTACTATTTCTGCTCTCAAGAAAACTGGCGGGCTGCCTAGCAACTACGACCTCAAACCCCGCTCACCCAAACACTCCCTCGCTTTCTTTAGAGAGTCCGCCTATTCTACCCGCTCACCTGCCCGCTACTCCTCCTCCTCCCCCTCCCCCTCCTCCTCCCGCTTTTCCCCTTCCTCTGGTCGCACCTCCACCTCAAAGAAAGCCACCTCCTTGCCGTCCGGCTTCCTAGTGGCCAACAACACAGCGGTGCTCCCCCCGCTGACCTCCTCAGGCACGTACGGCTCCTGCAAGCCCATGCCAGGAGCCAATGCGTACGCGTGCCCCTTGCCCACACACTGCTTCCGCACCGTCAACGTCCGCTACTCTGAACCCGCCACTGCAGCCAACACAGACGGCCCGCAGGCCCACGGCGTGATGAGCTTCATCAAGGTGATTCGCATGAGTGACGGCGCAGAGCAGACGTTTGACGGGAACTCGGACCACATCGAGGTTGGGGAGGATGGGAACACGGTGCGGGTGTTTGGGATCACAGCGCTGGTGGGGGAGGTGTATGTGGTGCAGGTGGTGGGGCCGGATGGGGAGGAGGAGTGGCAGCCGGAGGAAGTGAAGGTGTACTTTGGGGATGGCATGCACAAGGATTATGCGGGCAGCTGTGGAGGTGCTGTGACGGTGCGCTTCAAGGCGCCTGCTGGGGGCAACACACAGTGGGCTGTCAGGATGGCAGACAATGCAGCGTGGCGGTAGGGTTTTTATTAAGTTATTGTTGTTGTTTTTTTTTTTTTTTTTTCCCTGTTGGGGGGGTGTGGGGGAAGAGAGGAGGGGGGTAATTTGTTCTTGGTTGCTTTGCAAGCTCTTTGCCGGGTTGAGAAATCCGTCCCGCATTTTCATCTACCCCACCTGACGTCTCCCCGATCTTCTACTTCCCCCTCTCCCACCTCTCCCGCCCCTCCCCTCTCCACTCCCCTCGGCTCCCTCCTCCCTGCAGGCCCTGTACCGGCACGACTCAGCCCTCACCCGTTCTCGTCTCAAACGAGTGCGATGTGGACTCAGGGCAGCAGCAGGTGCAGGTGGTGCTGTCAGGCGCTCTGCACTACTACAGCCCTGCGGTCCTCTATGTCACCCAGGACCCCCCTGCGCCCTGCTCCTCCTCCCCTGTGTGAGTCAGATGCCTCCACACCATGGCACGGCATGGCATGGGATGGCACACCAAGCCGACCCCCCCTCCTTCCTCCCTCTCACACACACACAAACACCTCTAGTTCTTCTCTTCCCCTCACCCACTCCCTTCCACCACTCACCCACTTCATCCCTAACCCGCTCCCCTCTCTCTCCCTCACAGGCGTTGTGGCCTGCTGGCACCGCGGGCAGTGTGGCGCTACAACCAGCAGGGGGACGAGCTGCATCCACTCTATCCCGCCGGCCCAGCCTACTACAACCCTCCCTTCCCGGACTCCTCCTGGCCCTCAGGCCCCGCCCCGCTCGCCTACGTGGGATGTAAGCACTCGTGCTCGCATTCATCTGCGTACACCTCCTCTAGTGTATAATGCACTGCCATGCCATGCCATGCCATGCCATGCTGTCGTGATTCGGTCCCCTCGCCCGCACACTCCAACACTATTCTCCATGCCTTTGTACCAAAGCACCGCTTCCCTTCCCCCTCCCCCTGTTCTGCCAACAGGGAACTGGGATATGGTGGGCACATTCCTAGCAGAGCCATCGTGGGACGTGCGAACCACATACTACTTCCGCACGACCTTCTCTCTCACCAACTCTGCGTGCGTCTCCCACCTGCTGCTGCAAATGCCGGTGAACGATGGTGTGATTGTCTACATCAACAACCGTGAGGTGTTGCGCCTCAACATGCCCCAGGGAGACGTCTCCAACGCCACCTCCGTACGTTGCTGCAACGCCTCGTCCCTCTCTCTTCCTCACCCCTCACCCTCGCCCCTCGTCCCTGTCACCTCTCACCTCTCTCCTCTCCCCTCTCCCCTCTCTCCTCTCCCCTCTCCCCTCTCCCCTCTCCCCTCTCTCCTCTCCCCTCTCACCTCACACCACCGTGCATGGCAGGCATATGCACAGCGCATATCTCGCTCACCTGCTCACATGTCATCCACTTTGTTTCCTCACCATTCCCACAGCGCAGCACACCGCTCTGCTCTCA